AACAAATAAAAACAAAAGCTTGTTAAAGTATCTCCTTTCCCTTCGAGCTCCCAGTCTTATCGCACCTGACATACATGTTTGAGTCAACTTTACGCTTAGTGGGTTTATGGTTTACATAAACAAAACTTGACACGTGCTCAAAACATTTCAAATCTTTCGAAATATATAAAGTAACCATTGATTAATATTAAATGTCGTCGCCAAAAACATGCATGCAAATAAATCATCTTGACACATCAAACATCGAGTACTATGTGGGTCAATATATCGCCGGTAACATCAACTCTCTCAGCACAGTCGTATACTTGGCCATACATGTGCTAGATCACATCAATGGTATACCTCGCCATACGTTAATCAAATATCTATAATCATAATTTTGTTTAAAATACTGAAATTCTTTACATAAGATAACAGTGAGCGATGAGAATTTCCAATTTCAAGTAATTCATATTAAATACAAGATAAAATAAAGAATATGAAAATAAGAAGAAAACACACGATACATATTATATATGGATGGAAAGACACGTATTTAACCGCAAGAGTGGTGCCGGATTGGTTTGAGCTTGACTCCAAAGGTCAAAGGTACCAGGAGGTCCCAGGTTCAAATCCAAGAAGAAATAAAAATCCCCTTGTGGCCACGAAGGTTCAAATGCGGTTACTCCAGGCTATCTGCAAAACATGTGGTCGTCATGGGATTAGTCGGCTCGCTTAGCGGGTTGGATATCCATAAAGAAAGACACGTATTTAAGATGTTATATATATATATATATATATATATATATATATATAGACTTGGGATCATGTGAGACCAGCTTGTTTTCGTGAGACCCGTGAGACCAGCATTTTACACGTAAACTTCACAGTAAAAATGCTGTGAAGGTGACTTTTTAAAACCTTCACAGTGTTTTTGCTGTGAAGGTTCGACTTTTTTTAAACCTTCACAGCGTTTTTGCTGTGAAGTTTATGTGTAAAATGTTGGTCTCACGGGTCTTACAAAAACAGGCTGGTCTCATGTGAACCCAACCATATATATATATATATATATATATATATATATATATATATATCATGTTTCAATGTAAATGAGCCAAACCAAGTACCCCCACCAAGTGGTAATTTGTGGCTGCGACTTATGGAGTGGATCCCACCCACAAAATAAATTTTCGATCTGTTTCGTTTACTTACGTTCATTATAATATTATGTGCTTTTTTCCTCACTTTCTCGATAAAGTTCATGTGTCATAAAGGTAATTGATGTTTCTGTAGGCAACTATAAGCACACTTGCACTTGCTCAACTTGACTTTATCAAAAAAAAACATAAAAAGAAATACAAACGTAATGTCTAAGATGATGGAAACCCATATGTCTTACAACGAAATAAATTACACTATAACAAAATTGAGTTTATAGGACACCTTCAATCTCTACATGTCCCAATAGACCGCTTTATATGACTCAATTTATATGAGCAAAATATAAAGCGTCCTATCTAAATGTGTTGTAATAAGTTTATATGACGTTTTTGGACGTCTTAACAAGTTTTTTAGAACATTTGTAATACAAAGTGTCGCATTAGCAATTTTATAGTGACACTTTTGAGAAAATGTCCTACAAACTCAACTTTTTATAGGACATTTGTTTTTATATGATAGTTTTTCAAATAGTGTCATATAAAATTGCTAATGAGACGTTTTATATGAAAAATGTCCTAAAAAACTTATTACGACGTCAAAAAATGTCATATAAACTTATTACAACACCTTTAGATAAATTTATTTTTTTGGTCATATAAACTATGTTCTATAAAGAGCCCCAACAGCCCCTACTTTAAAACTCTACTAATAGTTTCTCCCTAATTTGGGTTTACTTTTAAAGGGTTTAATGAATTATTGAAGAAGTGGATTTGAAGGCCAGATGGAGAATTGGAGATGCATACACACTGAATATGTATGTGAATTAAGAAGGATTACTCTGTTCATAATTTCCTAAGTAGTAGACATAAACACATTCATTCAGATATACTGCAACCTATTTAGATTTAAGCATCTATTTGAAGAACTAAATCATGAAACGGGACAGGAAGAAGTTAAAGAATCAATAAAATACTACAAAAGGTGTTATATGATTTACCTGCTGAGAGTGATGCGAGAGGGCGGCGAACAGGAAGGGCGGTTTAGGGCGCAGCTTCGCGAGGGGAAAAGGAAGGGAGCACCGGCGAGATGACCTTAGGGCACAGCTTCGCAAGGGACGGGAAGGGAGCACCGGCGAGACGACCTTAGGGCACAGCTTCGCAAGGGACGGGAAGGGAGCACCGGCGAGACGACCTTAGGGCACAGCTTTGCAAGGCACAGGAAGGAAGCACTGGCGAGACGACCTTAGGGCACAGCTTCGCAAGGGACGGGAAGGGAAGGGAGCACCGGCGAGACGACCTTAGGGCACAGCTTCGCAAGGGACGGGAAGGGAGCACCGACGATGGAAGGGAAGCGATGGGAGGGAAGCGATGGGGGGGAATATGGGTGAAGGAAGCGGGAGGAAGGTGGGTGAAACAATCGACAGGAAGCGATGGGAAGGAAAGGCCCGGATTTGGATTTGAAATCCCGCCCCTTTGCAAAGGATTTCCAAATCCCTTCAATTTAATCAAATCCCCGGATTTCAAATCCTTTCAATTTGGCAAACCAAACATAGGATTGGAATGGATTTAAAATCCAAATCCCCCCAAAATCCATTCCATTCCTGCAAACCAAACGCACCCTTAGAATTTGGGAGTGTCCTATAAACCCAATTTTGTTGTAGCGGTATTTTTTTAGCAAATTATATTTGTTAAGTTTAGTTCGATTTTATAATAAGATTTGAGTTGTTTGTTATTGATATCGTTTGCTAAATTTTGTGGCTTTTTCTTAAGTGAGATTGTTGAATAAATAGTCATAGACTGAGATGATCTTGATGTTCTAATATTAAATAAAGTTTTCGTTTTTCAGTTTATCTTTGAGCTTAATCGATAAATTGAGTAGTCAATCTTTGTGACACACGTGTAAATCAGTTTAACACAAACAGTTAGCTTGACTATTGACTTCCTGTAGAAAAAATGATACCTGACTTACCATCTTTACTGATATAAGTTAGGTCTATAAATTAAAACAATGCATGCATCACTTAGATGACAACACTTTCCCCTTTCTAGTCGATTCTTGTTGTTTTGTACCATTACGAACACTTTGTAGGGTTAATTGTATATTTTAAGTAGTTATCTAATAAAACTTTGAGTGCTTGTATACTAAGGGGACGTTTACCAAACATTTATTCGGTAAACGCTTACGGTAAAATTTAGCATTATTGCTTATATACTGGGTAACAGTTTAGTCTACCAAAATGGTATCATATTCAACAATTTACCCATTAAGTGTCAGTAATTTAACACTATGATTTATTTAATGGGTAACTTTTAGTTCACCCAAACGATATTGTATGCAACAATTTACCCGGTAAGCGCTTACCGTGGTAAAAGTTATCGCCCTTACTTAGCGGGTAAGATCTTGGTCCTTGTCTCTCCCTTACAGGGTAATATTCTTGGTTTTTTACATATTCATCTGGTAAGATAATTTGACTTGGTGTTCACTTACCCCAAGTAAGCGTTTGGTAAACGGTCACTAAAAATTGTGCACGATGAAATGAACGTGTGCGCATATAATGTTTCTTTTAAAGATGATGGTAGATATCAAGGTTGTTTAGCGTGTACATAAACTAATTTTATGGGTTATGTAATTAACACTATTAATGGAAGACTTTTGCCTACAAATTTTTCCCTGAGAAATCAATTACTAAAAGGTGATTCATCACAAAACCGTCACAAAAGTTGATGGGTAAATTCTTGGTGCATAATTCAAATCAGTGACAGATTACCGGGTATTCTCTGGGTGATCCGTTGGTATTTTCTCGAAAAACATCGGATTCTACCGAACCGTTAGTATTTTTTGGGTGTTCCGTAGATAATTACCGACGGAAATTTCCCCGAGTGATTTTTATGGGTGAAAGTCATTTGTTTTGTAGTGTAACAATTAGTTAGAAAAACTTACAATGATTATAAAGAGATTCGAACGCGTAACTAATTAAAAGTAAATCCAAAATTTTACGAGTTGAGTTACTATATGGAGGCAACTTTATTTTGTTAACCGCGTAACTAGTACAAACTTTGTTAACTAGGGTATTTTCGTATTTTTCATATATTGATATCTCATCTTGATTATTTAATCATCACATTTACTTAATTATATCATTAATTTACTTTGTTTAAACTTCCTTCCCTATTTTATTTATTTTCTTGTTTCATTATGAACTTTGATAACATTTATAAAACAACCAATGTTAATACATGAAAACAACATTATGAACTTTAAACAGATCTCATTGTTTTACGTATGGACTTGGGGTGCTTCATGGCCAGACCTTGGGCTGGACAGAGGAATCAAGGGGTTTAATTTTGGGCTAACAGAAGAATATGCTATTGCCTATTGCTATAATAGAACTTATTAAGAGGTTTCTTAGGAGCCCAATAGCTAGCATGCATGTCTTGTTCTCTTGTAAGATGGTTGGATTAGCACTTTATATACAAAAGGTATAGTGGTTCGAATCTTTTTGGGTGCACCTATCAAACGGCTAACTTTTTTTCTCTTGTAATAATCGAGTGAGTGGGTGTATGAGAGCCCACTCAGCTCCTAATAGGTCCCCCCTGGACAAGCCTCGTACAACATTAGGGCATCTTCGTTCGGGTCTTCTTTATGATTTGGTGGATAATTCCGAGAGAGTTAATAGAAAGAAACTAATTAAGCAATAGTTGAAGTCACAGACAGATAACCGTAGACAACTGAAATCAAACAGTGATTCTTGCATCACTCCTAGTATTATAAAAGAATTGTCTATACAAATTTAGCTGATGCAACTATATGTGTATCTAATTCGAATTCACAATGAATATACTTTCTACTAACGACGCTAATCATACAGGCAAATCGGTTTCAGGTAAATACTCCACACAACTCGATATCCTATACGCAATTTCTGCCATATTCGGTCTTGCCAACGAATTCTCTAGCAAAGCCATGTTGGCCACGGAGACCAGAACCCTAAGCTGCTCCACATTCACTTGACCATTTAGTTTTGGATCCAACATACCCATCAAAACATCCACATCCTGATGTTTTCTACACTCGTTTGTCCATTCGGCTAGTGGTACCGAGCCTTGTAATGACTTCATCCCAGTTATAAGCTCAAGCAACATGACACCAAAGCTATACACATCACTTTTAGGTGATACTAGACCTGTGTTGAGGTAATTGGTATCAACATAGCCTAAAGAACCCCGTATAATTGTCGGGGTTTGAGCACTTTGAGTATCATGCCCTAATTTACATAGGCCAAAGTCTGCAAGTTTAGCATGATCATCATTTATGAGGAGGATGTTGGATGATTTGACATCTCTATGGATGACCGGAGGGTCTGCGACCGAGTGCAGGTAGTCTAGGGCGTAGGCGATGTCTAGCGCAATGCTTAAACGACTTGACCATGATAGAGATCCTGAAGATTTGCCTTTGCGAGTGTGTAACCGATCAAAGAGGCTCTTGTTTGGTATATATTCTAGTAGAAGAAGCTGCTCACCTGTTGCAATCCATGCACCCACAAAATTAATCCAGTTTTAGGTGGTAACTAAACTGATAACGACGTGAATGTTACATAAAATATTTAGAACTTAACACTTTGGGATAAAAACATAGATATAACATGTATAGAATATTTGGATAATTACAAAAAATGTTTGATTATTGATCGATTAAAATAACATTCAATGTGATCACAAATTATGAATGAAGACAAATACCGTCCCTATCTTAATGTGATCTCAAGTTGATGAATAAACATAATATTCGAAGCGTTAGTAATTATACAAAAGATATTTTTTTATTAACCTGGATAACCAACCCGCTATGCGAAGCGACTAATCCTAGGGTGACCACTTACTTCACGGGTAAACCGGAGTCACTGAATTTGAACTTCCGTAGCCACAAGAGAATTTTTATTCCTACTCGGATTCGAACCTGAGACCTCCATACACTTTTGACCTTTGAAGCTCAAGCTCAAACCAATCGGGTACCACCCCTGTGGTTAAAAAAGATAACTAAAAACATGCATTTTGAAAGATTCTTATACGTTGCTTTTTGTATTTTATGATACTCACGTTCTTGATACACTCCTGTCATGTAATATGGTTGCTTGTATATTTCTTTGAAAGATAATTGTGGATTAAAAATACATTGAAGAACAAAAACACACTACAACAAAATCGGGTTTATATAACACTCTTAAATTCTAAGCGTTCTAATAGACCTTTTTATAGGACTTGGTCTATAGGACCAAAAAAATAAAGTGTCATATCTAAAGATGTTGTAATAAGTTTATATGGCGTTTTTTGACGTCGTAATAAGTTTTTTTAGGACACTTTTAATATAAAGTGTCTCATTATCAACTTTATAGAACACTATGCTAAAAATTGTCCTATAAAAACAAGTGTCCTATAAAAAATTGAGTTTATAGGACAATTTCTCAAAAGTGTCCTATATAAAGTTGCTAATGCGACATTTTGTATTAAAAATGTCCCAAAAAACTTGTTAAAACATTCAAAAGCGTCATATAAACTTATTACAACATCTTTAGATAGGACACTTTATATTTTGATCCTATAAAACGGTCTATTGGAACACTTAGAGATTATGAACGTTCTATAAACTCAATTTTGTCGTAGTGACATTACCATAAAAATACATTGTGGATTACCATAACAATACATCTGTTTCATATAATAATTTCGGAATGGAAGAAATAATTAACTTTAAATATATAACAACAAAAGTGGCATATTTATGTTTGTTTCTATTAGGAAAGAATACTTAGTTATCGACAAGATAAGCCCTTAGGCAAAACATAATCCTAGAACAATTCGAAGGAGTACAAAACTAGGAATATGCATCCTCAAACCTTTTTTTAATGATGTCTTCATATGTTTTTTTTCTCTTTATGTCCGTTTGGTTGGATAGGACTCTTGATATACAACAAAGAGAAAATAACATATAAACAATCACTTTGTGCTCACACTTGGTAAAAATAATTCCGTTAGTCTTCATGTTTTGATCCGTTAAATAAGGTTATGGATAAATTGTTTAATCCATTTGCCCGGCACGTATTTACCCGAATTATTAAAAGTCGAAGTGAAAATAAGTTGTAATTTGTAATGACATGAACTTTGTATGTTACCATATATACCAAGGATTAACATTATGAAGCTACATACTTGACCAACAAAAACAGTTAATTCTTAACTAAAATCGTAAAGCAGAGCCGTCCTTTAGCATGTTAAATGTGAGATTTTGAACAGGACCCCCGAAATTTTGGGGCCCAAATTTACATGTGTTTAGAGTCTTTTATCGACCTGTGTATAACTATAGTCGAAGTTATTTAGGTTCAAACTATTTATGCAATGTAATTAAAAGTTTCGGATATAACAAGGCGTTTAAAAAAATTGGAATGTCCTTGTTGTAAAGTAAGATGATATGATTATGATGAAGAAAAGATGTTTGGTAAAACCAAAATATGCTTGAGCTTACCTTTGTCTAAGCAAAACCCCAATAATCCAACCAAATTAGGGTGAGAAATCCTAAGCAAGATGGAGACTTCATCAAGAAACATCTTCTGGCTACCTCCCCTGTCCTCCATCACCCTCTTGACTGCACCAAACCGCCCATCGCCAAGCTCGGCAAGATAAACATAGGATGTGGCTCCAACACCTATCCGTATTCGGAAATCCCTGGTCACCACCTTGATTTCGTCAAGTGCGTAAGTCCTAATACTCTTGCTAGTAGATAGTGAAGATAACCCTATGTTCTTCTGATCATGGTCGCCTTGTGCTTTAGCCAAAGATCTTGCTTGCGCTTGGGAGTCTACGTAAACTGCCCATTTCTTCAAGATGATGGTGAGAACGATGACCAGCACTATTGCTCCTCCTATCCAGTAGTTTTTTGTTGTTGAGGTGTCTAATCCAAATAACCAATATCCCATGATTATGCGATCTTTCAAGAACTTCCAATCTCCAAAAACCCTAAAGAGAACTGGGAAGAACAGATTTGGGTGCTGTTTCAAGAAAAACGATATGGGTGATCTTTGGATACTAATTTTTCTTGTTTAGCGTCGCTCACCCATGACACCATATGAGCTTATAATGATGTGTGTGTGTGTGTGTGAGAGAGAGAGAGAGAGTGAGAGAGAGAGAGAGAGAGAGGGAGTTTTGAAGTGTTGGAATGGAGCAATTGGAGAGGTTGGTACGGAGTTTGTATTAAATATCCTTGGGTTTGGAGTGTAGAAGAATTGTTGAGTCAATACATTGTTTTATGCACACGAATATGTATGCAGTTAGGGGTCTCAATTGTGTCTCTACATATTTAGTGTTGAATTTCTTAGTCTGAAACACACATGTAGCTAAGACAAAACAAAGTTCAAGCACTTTGAATGTTACACGAAGATATGGGTTCTCCCTTATCTTGAATTCTTGACTTCATTTTTATTTTGTCAAGTACCATAGAATTACTATACCAACCATCTATAATCTATACTATATTAGAAAGCATTTGACAAAAACTCTTAAAAACTATTTTTTATGCATAAAGTATTGTTTATTAATGCATATTACTTAAAATTTAAGACTTAAAGTAAATTGTACGTAAGTACAACTTATTAAAGCTCCATATCTGAATTAGTGTAACTAACTGCAAATAAACATTTCATTTTAAATATAAAAAATCTAAAATATAATTAAGATAATCATTGACTTCTAACAGAATACTTAATTATTATCTTTATAAAATGTTATATTATTAAACCAAAATTAATTATTTCGTTATTAAACTTAAATATAATTAAGATAATCATTGAGTTGATTTGATATTAATATTGATATATTTTTTTCCAAATTTTTATAATATCTTCAAATTTATATTTTTTTTCAAAAATAAAATCATTATTGTTTTTTTTTAAAACACATAAAATCGTATTATAACATCGACAGAGATAAATAATAAAATAGAACATTAAAATCGAGATGTGTCTCGCTGCATTGCGCGAGTACTCTTCGAAGTATACTTAAATTGGAACATGTAAAAATAAATTTATTCTAAGAGAACATAAAATAAAACGATAAATTAAAACAAATACTTAAACAAAAGATGAAAAAATACTCTTTAAGTGTTCTTAGAATTATCATCTCTCTTGGTATTATCTTCTATTCATATGTAAACAATCAAATCTATGCAAAATGAATTTATATATATATATAGGGTTGGGTTCACGTGAGACCAGCCTGTTTTCGTGAGACCCGTGAGACCACATTTTTACACATAAACTTCACAGTAAAAACACTGTGAAGGTTTAAAAAAAGTCGAACCTTCACAGCAAAAACAATGTGAAGGTTTAAAAAAAGTCGAACCTTCACAGCAAAAACACTGTGAAGGTTTTAAAAAGTCACCTTCATAGCATTTTGCTGTGAAGTTTCAAGTGTAAAATGCTGKTCTCAAGGGGTCTCACGAAAACAGGCTGGTCTCACATGATCCCAAGTCTATATATATATATATATATTATGATGCATACGTAAATGCATTTAACATACATACACTCTCTCTCTCTCACACACACACATAACCTCGTGAGAACCGATGTAAAAATTAATTACATGAATTTTTTCAACAAATGCTAAGATTTAAGCTATTATTTCACATATATTTGTGTTCACTATGTGAAAAAATACAGGTGAAACTTATTTTTGGTTCACATAGTAAAACAAAAATATACATAATTGCTTTACATTGTGAAACAATACCTTAAATCCTAGATATATTAATGGAAAAAAAAAATTAAATCGATTCGCATAGATGTATAACCTCTTATAGACATCAGTGTCTACCTATGTGGTTAAACATTGCTACTCTATATCCGAATATTTGCATTTTGCAAGATCTATATATCTTCTACAAGTATGATTATGAAGAGTAGAGCACCAATTAATTGTTTACATGGTACAACTTAGTGGATTATTTGTACCTTATAACTCCTCGCCAAACTTTAATAGCACATACGTAATTTAAACACATATTCCTTGAAGTATATAATTCATGTATCATACGTGATTAAACGTTTATGTGTTGTCAATGTCACATGTGTTTAATCATATATGATATTGAAACTTCTTACATTCGTAAAATGTTTAAATTCTCGTTAGAATTGGAACCAACCCCTATATATGTATACATGTATTGTATCATTGGGTCATATTGACCTTTAATCCGAATAATACTTAGAAAAGCAAACAACCTAAGTGACACATATATCATATCTATATAATGCAAAATGATCACAATTAAATTAGATATACAAGTTCAAATTAATCAATCAAAAATACAATAAAGCTGAAGAAAAACTCTAAAACCCGGTTACAAAATAGAAGGTTAGAAAGAGGGGCACTAACCTCAAAAGATGTCGATTTTTTGGATATTCTGAGGAAGTGTTTTTGTTGATTCAGATGAAATTAGACAAAGAATAGACAAGAAAGGCAATGATATGATGCTGACAAGACCCGAATAGATATACGGCTACTATATCAATATTACGAAAGTAGCACGTACACTTTCATACGTTGGAAATGAGATGGTACTTGTGGGTTGTACGTATCACAAGTTAAAAGCATCTACAATTACTGTGAAGCATTGCAAAGGTTATAAAGAGATGAAAAAGGAAATATATGCGATAAACAAAAACTTATCATGGGTTCGTATTGATGACGAGCAAAGGAACACTAGCAAATTTTGTAGATGTAACATATAGAATAATGCGTCGAGTTTAGGGCATGTTTTTTCTTTTTCAATTAAGTAGTCGTTTTCTTTGAGTGGGGAGTGTAGAGGAAGTATTTCTAGGGTTAGAATGCAAGTATTTTGGACATAACTAGTTCGATGTTCGCGTGTGAAAGGGTTGAAGAAAAAGAAAACCCACATTTTTGAAATTAAGAACATATTCACACCCAGTTCCTAGACAAAAACCGGATACCATGTTTTTAATTAGAATACAAATCACACGAGTTACACACAACGAACCGAAGACGATGTGCTTAAAGTAATTATATAATAGATCAAACAACATATGTGTACATACAAGTGGGTACGTATGATATTATTGCATTGGCCCCTCATATAGTTGACAAGCTATGAAAAAAATAAAAAAGGAGTACAATAATTTTTTTTTAATTAACCTGAATATCCAACCAGCCGACTAATTTCAGGACGACCACCTGTTTTGCACATAGCCCAGAGTCACTGCATTTGAACATCTGTGGCCACAAAGAGATTTTTATTCCTCTTTGGATTTGAATCTGAGACCTCCTGATACTTTTGACCTTTGTAGTCAAACTCAAACTAATCAGGCACCACCCTTCTGATTGAGTACAATAATTCAGATTAAGTACATCGTACTAGGTTTTGTTCAAGCATTGCACCTGGTTGGAACTTAACGTTGCAAACGTCTAGACGATATATTTTTTCCACATTGAAAACCTCTTGAAACATCCGCGAATTAACCTTCCAAAATTGGTATAAGTTTTTTGTTCCTCAACATTAGATTATGAAATGGCTTACAACTTGATACGGATACAAAAATAGGCCACAAAAACAATGTTCGAATTTTCTTTTTTTACCATTAATTAAAGATTGTTGGTCATCGTGCCAGATTAATGCTAGAGGCGGTCATCGAAGCGCCACCAGAACTGACTTCATGGGCATCTGGAGCTGAGAAGTACATGGGCACTGGCATCACCTTGGGAAGATTTGGGACTGGACCCTCAAACTTTAGCATATGAATTGCTTGCCGGATGGACGGCCTCAGTCTCCGGTCAGGGTGCGCACACCATAACCCAACTAACATCAAACACTCGACTTGTTTCTCGTCAAATTTGTTGCTCAGCATCTGGTCCACACCGGAAAGCAGCTCATGTTTTCCGAGTAAACCCCAAACCCACTGGACCAATCCAACGTCAGGATTTCTGTCGATATTGTCGATTGCCTTCCGGCCGGAAGCGATCTCTAATGCAACAACCCCGAAGCTATACACATCCGACTCTTTGCTGGCCTTTCCTGTTATTACATACTCAGGAGCAATGTAGCCTATAGTTCCGGCTAGACCAGTTGTTTGTAGACCCAATTCATGGTCCATTAGCCGAGCCAATCCGAAGTCTCCCAGCTTCACGTTGAATCCTGAGTCAAGCAAGATGTTGCTCGTTTTGATATCTCGATGCACCACACATTGTTCACACTCTTCATGGAGATAGAGCAATGCCGATGCTAAACCAAGGGAGATCTTGTACCTCACAGCCCATTCAAGGGTAGTCTGTTTGCGGAAGAGGTGAGAGTCAAGGCTGCCGTTAGGCAAAAACTCATAGACAAGCAGGAATTGTGTTTGATCATGGCACCAGCCGATGAGTTGCACCAAGTTTCGATGCCTTAAAATGCTAATGATCTTCACTTCAGCTAAGTACTCTTTCTTTCCCTGTTTAGAACTCTGTGAGATTTTCTTCACAGCTACTACCATGCCTTCACGGGATAAGTAGCCCTTGTAGACACACCCAAATCCTCCCTCCCCCAACTTCCGATCATGTGAGAAGTTGTTGGTAGCCAAAGTGAGATCGCTGTAAGAAAATCTTTTAGGTCCTGCGCCTCTTTCAAGATCACTATCGCTTATTGATGTCAAGGCAGCTGTGTCTAGTGATTTCTGTGTAGACTTTCTTTGTCTTCTCCAATATGCAGTACATGCTACTAGGCCTCCTACAACTAGAATGGAAAGAGGGACTGCTAAGCCCAGTGCTAGTTTCGTCTTGTAAGAAATATCTTCACTTTCTCCAACTATATTTAAGGTGGAATTGAACTCCCAGTACCTAAGGATGTGTCTCTCGCCAAATGAACTGCTGGCACCAGAAAATCCAATTGTTACCTTCTCAGGAAGAGCTTCTCTCAAGTCAACTTGATACGAAAGATGGGTTGTCATTCCTCTTGAAGTATTTTCTGCCGAATAGCGCCAAGACAAGCTCAGCATCTGGGTAGTACCATTGTAAGAAATCCAAGCATCCGCAGACATTCCACTGTTCAAAGTAGCATCCCAGAAAGTGTATTCAACAGAACGAATCGAGTTCCTGTTGATACCCACATGTGCAAATGGAGGATCCCAGTGGTTCACGAAAGTATCAAACTCGACGACAATCATTTGGCTTTCGGGCGAGTCACTGGTAGTCGTGTTGAACAATCCTAAAAAGGGACCAGAGGAGTTGAGTGGGATTTCGAAGCCAACTGGGGCAAGAAAGAAAGCGAAGCCATCACCATGTAAGGTATTGCCTTGTGTATCAACGATGATGAAAGTGAAGTGAGTGGTGAAATCTGAGAGCTTCCCAGATTTGCTGTCCCATATCTGGACTGCGTGGGCGTATCTGGCATGGCCAACACCAATGCCATCATGAACTCGGTTGAACTCTATGTCTCCAGAAGAAGGTGCCGCATCACCTGAATAGACCATATTTGTTGGATCGGCTGAACTTTTAAGGATCTCGAAATATACAGATTCAGAAAAGACCAAGAAGAATAAAGAACTACAAACAAAGAGAATGATACAAGCATTAACTTGCAGACCTTGAGATGACGAACACGTGAAAGAGGTAGCCATTGTTAGGCCAAAACATTAAACACAGGTCTGAACATGTACATAAATACCATCACGCAAAACAGAATAATTGATTAACAGGAATTGTAGAGCAATAACTGAAGATGACAAAAATAGAACCCTCTGGTCAAATATCGAAAAACATGTGGTTTTAGGTGGGGTTGCATATGAAGTTTTCCCATATTTTGATTGAAAAAAACGTTTATAAAAAAGTCTAATACGATTACGACAGGTTCATTCACTCGTACGGCATCCTTTACTTTGCCTTTTTTTTGTGTGGTTATCAGCTTATATACAAATGATATGGATATCGATTGTCCATAAATATTTATACGAATTTGCATAATAATTAAGGCTGGGAAATAAAATGGCATCTCGATATTATGTCAACGTTTGTCTATGACCGGAGATAAAGATAGTGACGACGTTTATTTTTAATCTCACACATCATTGCTAGGGGTGTACGAGGGTTGGGTTGGGTTGGACGGTTTATAACATTTTTACAACCCAACCTAATTATGACGGGCTTGGAAAAATCTCAACCCAACCCAACTCATTCAAAATTATAACACAACCCAACTCAACCCTTGCAGATTGAGGCGGATTAGGTTAGCGGGTTAGTAGTTAGATAAATTTGACGAATGAAATAATTCATAAACTTAAGTTTATTGACAATACTGTAAATCCTCCTGTCTAAATATGTTACAATAGGTTTATAGAACGTTTTTATACGTTTCAACAAGTGTTCTAGAATGATTTTTAGATAAAATGTTTGATTAGTTATTTTATAAAAACATTTTAAGAAGTGTCCCATAAACTCATCTATTTATAGGACACTTATGTTCATGTGACACTTTTTCAAGTCGTGTCGTATAAAATATCTAATATGACATTTTATTTTAAAGGTGTCATAAAATTTGTTAAGACGTCCAAAATCATCCAATAAACATATTGTAACTCTTTTGGATAAGACATTTTTCTTGTTTCGTCCTATAAAGTATTATATTATCACGCTTGGACATTTTAGGCATCTAATGTTGTTGTAGCGAAATGTTATAACTAAGCATTTTTTTCCACTAAAATATAACATAAAATGACGAGGTATTTAGATTGATGGATTCGTCAACCAAATATCTATCAATATCATTCATATTCTCCAACATATCCATTTGTTATTGATGCAAAAAAGATTTCAATAATTTTCTTTTATTAATTAGATTATTTGTCATCATTCTTTGAGCGTGAATCTCTTTTGATAACCTATACGTTTAGTTAAAACGAAATACAAACACAATTTCAATAAAAATTATATAAAACTTATACATTATTAATATATATATATATATATGTAAATAAAATTTTATAAAAATTATATGTTAGTGGCGGGTTAGGCCGGTTAAGCTAGCCCTAACCCAATTTCAACCATCCTAATTGACAGGTTAGCGGTTTGGTGGGTGGGCGATTAGGTGGGTTGGGTTTAATTGAGTTGTTAGCGGATTGGGTTGGCCGGGTTTTGCAGATTGACAGTTTTTTGTACACTTCTAATCATTTTTTGGTCATTCACATGTATTCGTATTATTATATACAATGAAAAGTTTAGAAAATCCTAACGAAGTATATTTTATTATAAATAAGTATCTAAACTGTTTTTTTAAATAAAAATCATTATACTTTTTTGTTTTGAATGATCAAATTTTGAACTATTTTTTTAATGAAAAAATCATTAAATTTTCTTATGTTTAATGATTAACATGTAACAGATTTCCCAAAAGTCAAAATCTCAAAAAAGAATTACATTCATCTCCAATAGATTTTTGAAAAATCCATCATTGATTACAATATTAAAATATTTTATTCGTCTATTAAGCTCAGTCAAGTTTTTCTTGTTATCGGCAGGTACATGACTTAGTAGGGACTTAGGAATGAGAAATACAGAGATGGCATGACTGAAGATAACCATTATGATCTACTTTTGTTAAGCTTTTGATGATTAATGTAGATGACATATGTGTGTATTTTTGGAACTATTTTGTGGTACATTTTGTTATCTTCGTTTATGATTATGTAACTATGTTTTGTTAAATTATATTAGCTGCTTGTTTTAACTAATGAGTCTGATTTTTTTTTAAATCTAATTGTAGTGTCTTCTATCCTAAGTCACGGGGACGGGGGTGTTACACCTAACCCTATATATTTAATTAAAAAAAATGAAATATAAACAAAAATCGAGAGAAATAAATTACATAAAAAAAACTAAATTTTTCTCGTTAATTTGACATCCATATTGATATATTTTTCATCCACTTTTTCTTTATTTTCCCCTTTTTTATGTATTTTAAGGTGAGAGAGAGTATTGCTAAGGAGAAATCACTAAATATGTGAGAACTATAAGAATAAAAAATCACACAAAAAACGGATGAATATATATATATATATATATATATATATACACTAAGATGTTGTAATTTATTTTTGCTCAATTTTTGATTATATTCCGTTCTTTTCCAAATTAAAAAATTAAGGGTGTGAGGGTTTTTTAAATTAAAAATATCGTTGTAAACGTCATTTTATCATATATGTTGAATTAATTAACTTAATGATTGATGAAGATGATTTTTTCCTACACCTTAATATATATATATATATATATATATATATATATATATAGGGGCCTAATCAAATGAGAACTAATTAGTTTGTGGTAACTGTGAGAACCAATATTAAYYACAAMTCAATAGATAAATTAGGAAATTTATAATTTTGGCAATTTTGAATTAAAATATTAATGCAAGGATATTTTTGGTATTTTAAAACTTTCCTCCCTCCTCTCTT